TGCCTTAAAATGTTTAAAGCCAACTTTCTTTTTCTTCTTCTTTTTTTTTTTTTTTGGTACCAGGGATTGAACTCGGGTCCTTGCGCTTGCGTAGCAGGCAGCAAAACCACTGAGCTAAATCCCCGGCCCTAAAGCCAACTGTCTAAGCATTTCCCTGTGATACTTACTATCGAGGGGGGAAAAAAAAGTAAATTTAAATTTGCCTTTGGAAATTCCAGGATTCGCCCTTGTATTTTGTTAATGACACCCTTATCTGTGACACAAGGCAGTTATAGCCCCAAGGTGGGTACAAATCTACAAATCACTGGTGATAAAGGTGGCGCAACCGCTTATTGCTGCTGCCCTGCCCACCTCCTCCCTAATGCTGCCTTTCATAAAGCAGAAAGAGGTCATAAAACTCTGCCCTTTACTCTCGGGGCCTCCCCAAGTGCAACACTCTGTGTCCGGCACTGAGGGCCCAAGAGGCGCTGTCAGCAGGGACGCCACCGATCACTCGGAGCTGGGTAACGAGGGACGTGCCCAGGGCTTATTTAGGGCACTGTCGCAAATTCCGCGGCCTCACAGCACCAGCTGGTGAGGAAGCGGCTGCTGTCACTCCACGGTGTCTTGCGTTTTGTCTCACAAGCAAAAATATTAAGGATACAAGACAATTTTCTAGTGCAAGTTACTGGAGTAAGAATGAGGTAAGAAAATACATGTTAACTATTATTTATTACTAAATTTAATTCACGAACACAAATGAAATCTGGAAGGGGAGAATCCTATTTTTAATGTAAGTTTACATTTATGTTTTGCAAGTGACAGGAACAATTTTGGAAAAATTTTTATTTAATGAACATAAACTTTTATTTAATGAACTTTTCCCACAAAAATGGTGTTTTTTTGGTACCAGGGATAGAACTCAGGACCTTGCACTTTAGAGGCAGGCATGGTGCCACTGAGCTAAATCCCTGCCCCAAATGTTACTGTTTTTATTTTTTTTTAATTTAATTTAATTTTTTTGGTACCGGGGATTGAACTAGGGACCTTGTGCTTGTGAGGCAGGCAGCGGAATCACTGAGCTAAATCCCCAGCCTTATTGTTTTTAACATAAGCAAAAATTTAAAGTAGCAAAAGTTAACACTCAAATTAACCAGAAATTTCTTCCCCAATGCTACTAAATTTCTCATAATTTCCAGAGGTCAAGGTATAAATTTCCTAATGTAAATGTTAACTATTGCCGTACTGCAATTATAATCATCTGATTATGTTCATCTTAAGCAAGAATGGAAATTTAATCAACTTGTTTTCCTTCCTAGGTAGGTAACGTTTCTACATTTTTTTCTTTATACTATAAATTATTTATTTCGTTTTATTTGACCAGGAATAGAATTTAACCTAAATTATAATGTCACTGTTACAGAAATGCCCAATGATATTAAGTCAGAAACAGAATTATTTCTTGGGGAAATACAAATGAATACAAAATGCCCATGAAATTACTAATTCAAGTCAGAATTAAGCATCAGAGTTTGAAATTTACCAGCCCCTAAATTTACTCAGCTCACGAATAAGCTAGGACTCTCTTCTGGAAAGCAAGTGCTCTTAGCGATGATGCACTTACTGAGAAAGGCAGGAGGGGCCGTGTCGCTCAGGGGTGAGCGCTGCCCAGCACGCAGGCCAAGCCCTCGATCTGATCCCTGGTACTGCACACACGCACCCACATTTGGAAGCGCAGGCTTCCTGAGCTGTGCTCTGAGGTGTCACCAGGTGTAACAACAACTCCATGTGGACCGAACACCGAGGTCCAGTGGAGCCGCTGTTACCTTTGGTGCCTAGCAACTTGCTGCAACACCAGGACTGGTGACGACAGGAAATCGGGATCACTGGCTCTCCTTAGATGAAGAAGGAAAAACCACCCTTCCAACCAACTCTCAAAACTGACAATTAAAAATGAGATCGATTTGTGTCCCGTCACAGAAGCAGCCCGCCCACGGACAAGGCTCAGCAACACCATTCCAGAGTGGGGTACAGGAACATGACCTACGAGGTGATAGACCATGCGGCTGAGTCTGTCTGTCACTTCTGTAGGCCGACATCCTGTACGTCCCTGCAACTTCAAAGGCTGGAACCCACTGATAGCACGTAAGCCACGCAGAGGCACTCGCAGAGCCACTGGCCTCAGAACCATGGAAAGGCGCTCTCGAGGCCTAGGGACGGCCTGCTGTGCTCTCCTGACCAAGCTGACCAAGCTCACCTCCAGGCCCAGGGTAGCAGCGAGGGCGTTTCCTGTAAATAACAGCACTTGTATATAGGCCAGATGGCCGGGCTGGGGGCTGTGCTTAGCAGGCAGAAGCTCCGCCTTCGTCCCCAGCACCAAATCCAGGCTGCTCTCCTACCTAACACTGCATAGGAGGGGCACCTCAATCACTCCCGGGAAACTCCCCAAACCCTTGCTCTCCACTGGAAAGAAGGGGAAATATTACATGTACTAATTCCCCACAATAAATATAATTATCATGTCCTGCAACCATGCACTAATAAAAATTAAAATCTGAAAAACTCTCCAGCGTGAAACTTTTAAAGAGTACTTGAGTAAATTTACCTCAACGGTAATCATTTTAATGCTTAACAGAAATGTACAGAAATTAGCAGTTCACATCTGACCAATGTTAATGAAGCAACACTGACAGCAAGAGTCTCCAGCTCTGAACTGGGACAATACTGAGGAGCCTCCCCTCACTTCTGGGCTCCGGGCCTCTACTTCCGTTTGTGAAGCACTCCCACCCCGTGAATCTCACCTCCATCTCCAAGGCTCCTGCTCTCCCAGCCCCACTCCTTGGCGCCACTGCGCTCACCCTCCCTCGGTCTCAGCTGCTCCCACCTGCTCCCCTACATCTGTGGCCAGCCCCACCTGCTCCTCAAGGCACACCAGTCCCCGCCTGCTCTGAGGGAGCCCACGAGCCACATCCACCCAGAGCCTCCATCACCCCAGCCATGCCAGGAGTCTAATCACACACCCACTGGGAGTGGTCCACACCTAACTGGGAAGAAGCCCTCACACCAAGGATACCAGGAACTGCCCAACCAAAAATACACAGCAAAAGAAAAGAAAAAGTGTAGGGGCTGGGGGCTGCGGAAGCAGAGTGCGTAATCAGAATGTGCAATGCACAAGTCCAGTCCCCGGCACCCTGTTAAAGTAAAAATGAGCTGGGACAGTGGTGCACGCCTGCAATCCCAGCTACTTGGGAGGCTGAGGCAGGAAGATCTGGAGTTTGAGGACAGCCTGGACAACTTAGTGAGTGCCTTGTTTCAAAAAGAAAAAAGTGCAGCTTATCAGCATGTGTACTCAGCATATGGAAGGCCCAACTTTAACCCTTACCATCAAAAGAAAGAAAATAAAAACACCAGCAACACCCTAGGGCTACTGGAAGCCTCCCAATATGACAAGCTGAACTAGCAGCACGGCTCTCACCACAGGGCTCTCACCACACGGGGCTCGTTCCCTGCAGCTATCGGCAGGGCCTGTGCTGCCACGCTGAGTATTTAAAAGGGGCTGTCGGGCTGGGGATTTAGCTCAGTGCTGCCGCCGCCTGCCTCAAGAGCACAAGGACCCGAGTTCGATCCCCAGTACCAAAAAAAAATTAAAATAAAATAAAAAGGGCTCTCAAAACAGCTGAGCAGCACGGCCACAATAGAGCACTGCTTCAGGCCATGGCCATTACATGCATCCCTCAGGATGCATCACCATCCGCCTGTATCTGCGGTTCTCCCCATGTGACAGAAGACAGAAGTTAGGCAAATAAATTCCTTAACCTCACATACAGTAAGTGGCAAAGCCTGGGTTCAAATTCATCCTACAAAGCTGATATTCTTTCAAAAGGTGCCCAAGCTGGATGTGGTGGCACACACCCGTAATCCTAGCACTGTGGAGGCTGAGGCAGGGGGATCACTGCAAGTTACAGGCTGGTCTGAGCTACATAATGAATTCAAGGTCAGCCTCGACTACATGGCGAGACTCTACCTCGAAAACACACAAAAAAACCACAAGGAAAGTGTTTGACTAAAAGGAACTGTTCTAGATTGCCACTGTGATGGTGTGTACAACATGTAAATCTACTATAATTACCTACAAGGGATGGATTTCAGCATATAAAGTACGCTTCGATGAAGCCTTAAAAAACAGGAGTGAGGCAGATCTTAAGTACTGATCTGGAACAAACTATAAGATAGAAGTGAAAAGCTCAGCTTCTGTAATCCCAGCACTTAGGAGGCTGAGGCAGGAGGATCATGGGTTCAAAACCAGCCTGCTCTACAGAGTAAGACCCTGTCTCAAATAAAAAAGCAGATAAAGTAAAAACAAAGGCCCAGACCAGCACACGTAGATGATCCCTTTGTATAAATGTATGGACAGCGGACAGGAATTCTCTGTTTCTGTAAAGATTCAGAAGACTGGTGAACAATGCAGCAAAATGAGACAAGAAAAAGCCCACCTCTCGCTGTGGAAGCTTTTCCACTCTACTGCTGCTTACTACATCCATCTGTCATTAAAAAATAAGGACAAAACAAGAAATAACCGAGAACCCAATAACCAATGCAGTCATATGCATGCGGCTACCTTATAGCTTCTTAAAGGTTAAAATATCTGAACAGGTATTTCCAGCGGAAAGGAGTGGATGCAGAGTAAGGAAGTGATTCTGATTCCTAAAGAAAAGCTACATCCACCTTTCCACTGAACACTGCTCATCCTGGGGTCCCTAGCACTGTACGCTGGCACAGCACATTTTCCTAGAAAAACTCAGAGCCTTGCTCCTACATATCAGTACAGAAAGATATACTTTCTGTTAATATTTTAACCATATGAAAGTCCTGGAAATTTATATTTTAACGCTTAAAAACTATTGCTATTTTAGAATATTTTGAATAAACCGTACAAATGAACTCCAGACAGCCCAAATTATTTTCCATTTTTAAAGAACAAAGCCCGATGTGGGCAGCAATGCGAAGTGCAAAGTGCTCACCTGCTGATCAAGCACTCATCTCTGGCCCTGTGGTGGAACACGGGGATAGGCACCCCCCAGGCCCGCTGCCTCGAGATGCACCAATACGGCCGCCGCTCCAGCATGTCGGCCATGGTGTTCAGAGCCGTTGCAGGAATGAACTTCACGGTCTTCAATGCCTCCTGCAGTGGAAGCAAAATCAAGCCAGTGAGAGAAAGCAAAGCGAAGGTTCCAGAAAAGCCATTCTTTCCGAAGGCAGGGCGGTGGCTTGTGCCTACAGTTCCAGCTACCTGGGAACTTGGGAGGCTGAGGAAGGAAGATTACTTGAGCTAACAGTTCTAGACCAGCATGGGCATATGGCGAGACCCCATATCTCAACAGGAGAGACAGGCGGGCGGGGAGAGCAAGAGTGCACACACACACACACACACACACACACACAGACACGTGCATGCACACCGTGTACACAGACACACATCTACATGGAATTCACAGCACCAGTTCACCAGTTCTTTTTTTTGGAGGGGGGGTACCAGGGATCAAACTCGGGTCCTTCCTCTTGCGAGGCAGGTGGCGGAACCACTGAGCTAAATCCCCGGCCCAGTTCACCAGCTCTAAAGCATCTGCCAGCTCCAAGAGATCCTTCTGAAGTGGATCCTGCTCTCAGTCTAAGAGTTCCGGAAGTGCATCTCTGCCTTCCACCACCACCCAGCACAGACGAGGGTCTCAGGTGTGGCAGCTCGATGCCCGGGCTCTGCCCTCACGCCACTACTTTCCTGGCAGAGGGCAACTGGGGGCGCTGAGACTGCATCCTCCACACACAGATAATGGAAGAATGAAGCCCAGATCTTCAGATGTGAAAGGCTAAGAATTCAGGAAACAAACCCTAACACCGGCAATGCCTCCACCTCCAATGTGCGCCGACCTCATCCTGAGACACACACACCCCACAGACAGGGGCCAGGACCCCGCGCTCCACCAGGACGCCTCTCGCACCTGGGCTGCGGGCTTGATGTCCGAGATCTTCACAAACCACTGCTTGCTGGCACGAATGATGACGGGCTGCTTAGTCCTCCAGTCGTAGGGATAGCTGTGGATCAGTGTCTCCTCTTTCAACAGACTCTTCACACTCTGAAGCATCTTTATTACTGCCGAAAGTGTTTTATGTCAGACACGAAAAGCAGCACAAAAACCAAGTCCCATGGTGCACATATGTGATGCCAGCTATACAGGAGGCTGAGGCAGGAGGATTGGAAGGGCAACTTAGCAAGGCCTCTTCTGCAAAAAAACGCCACTAAGAAAATCCTACTGGGCTGGAGACGTAGCTCAGTGGCGCAGCACCTGCCTGGCAAGCGTGAGGCCCTGAGTTCATTCTCTGTAGGAAAAAAAAAATCCTACTGATGCTCTACACCTGGGCCGACAGGGGCCAATAGAGGAGCCACATCTGGGTTAGGGGTGATAATGTGGGGCTCCAGGCAAAGAAAAGCAGGGGCTGTACAACCTTAGAGCCCCACGTGCCACTCATTCCAACGTGCTGCAAAGGAAAGATGGGCGTAAGACAGAGAACTGCAGAGCTGGAATTCAGAGCTACAGCCCTTAAAATGGTCTCCAGTAACCTGGAATCAAGCAGGTGTGGAGGGCTGAGCTGTGTCTCCGAGAAGGTGACCTCCCTGGGAAGACAGGTCTCTGCAGAGGCAATGAAGAGGAGGTCACGCTGGGTCCAAGTGGCCTGAACCGTATCTGGAGTCCTCATGACAGGGGAGGGGACCGATTCACAGCCACAGGGTGCCAGGGAGCCTGAGGTAAGGTGAGGGTGCCCTGGACTGAGCAGCGGGAGCACAGCCAGGAGCCCCAAGGCCGGGAGGGCAGGGAGGGGGCACCGGGCCCCCAGAAGCCCAGAGGGGAAGCTCTGCTGTCTTAAGCCATCAGACTCCCGGCCTTGTTACCATTGCCCTGGAAAAGGAACACCTGGTCACCCTAGCATCAGCCCTAGCAGGCGAAGAGCAGTGTCCAGGACACCTGGTTTCCGAACACATGAGGAAAGCCAGAAAGAGGAGCATGGCTGGAGCAGCGCAAGGGAGTAACGCCCGAGCACCTGGAGGGTCGGGTTTCTGCGCGGGCACACGAGGCGCAGGGACACAGGCTGCATCCAGGCCAGACGAGTTTATCTTTGTTAAAACAGCACCCCTCCTTGCTGGCCGTCCCCATGTGCCCAAGCAGACAGAGCAGCTTTGAAGCAACAGATGGAGAAGCGCCGACTCCTTTTAAACCATGCCGCCACACAAAACGACGTTGGCTTTTGTTTGTGCCGAAAGTGAAAGGAGGGAGAACAAGCTGGTACACGGTGCGCGCCTGTGTCACCCACATTCTGGGAGGCTGGAGCAGGAGGGCTGCAAGTGTGAGCCCAGCCGGGACAGTGTGCTCGCTGAGCGAGCCCGGTCTCCAAATGAAAACACAACGGGGTAGGAACGGGGCACCGCGCACAAGGCCGGCGGCCGCTTCTAACACTGGGACTCACCCTCGTCAGTCCCCTCCTCCAGGACAGCCTTGCTCTCAAGTTCAGGGCCTGCAGCAGCTGTGAAAATCCCACCTTCGTCCACTGAACAATCCTACAAAGTGCCATTGTGAACAGTTAAAATGAAGGAGACGAAATTCTATCTTATAACACCTCTGGCAAAGCAATACACACGCAAAACACCTCAGAAGCACAGTCTAGTCTCCTCTGCACTAAAACTTTGAGTACTTCTTTCTTCTTTTCTTTTCTTTCTGCGGTACCGGAGATCAAATTCTGGACCTTGCACTCTGAAGGCAAGCACGGTGTCACTGAGCTAAATCCCCAGCCCCGTAACTTACTATTTGCAAGAAAGTACAGGTAAGCCAACCTCTACAGGGGAAAAACATCAGGTATGTGCTCAAACGTCTGAGATTTCTATGTGAACAAGTACTTGCTATGGATTCAGGTTGTGCACAGCAATACGAATCCCAAAAGAAAGACAGCAGGCAGCACGACAAGGTGGCACACGCCCGTCATCCCAGCGCTCTGGGAGGCTGCAGCAGGACCATAAGTTCAAGCCCATCCTCGGCAACTTAGCGGCTCAGTAAGAGCCTGTCTCCAACAAAAATACTGTGCTCTCGCTTTCTTAGTGGCCAGCTCTAACTCTGCAAAGAAGTTCTCTGTACTTCTTTTCCTACCTTTGATTAAGGTCAAACCTCGCTACCTTTAATTTAAAAAATGAATTTTTAAAATTTTTAAAAATAATAAAAATAAAACTCCCCAGACGTAGTGGCGCACGCCTGTAATCCCAGCACTGGGGAGGCTGAGGCAGGAGGAACACTTTGAGTTCCAGGCCAAACTGAACTACATAGTGAGACCCTGTCTCAAAGAAAACACAAATACAGGGCAGGGGATTTAGCTCAGTGGTTCCAGCGCTTGCCTCGAAAGCGCAAGGTCCCGAGTTCAATCCTCGGTACCAAAAAAAAAAAAATACCCCATAAATAAATACAATAAATAAATAAAAATATATAAAATGCCCAGGGATGTAGTTCAGTGTAAAGGCCTCAGCTTCAACCCCTAGTCCTGCAAAGGAAGGAAGGAAGGGAGTGAAGGAAGGAGAAAAAATGAAAGGAAAAAAAGTAAAGCAGACCTCAGAGGCTGTAGGTGTGGTTCCAGCCCACACAATGAAGCAGGTATTGCAACAAAGCTAGTCACTCGAATTTTCCAGTTGCCTGATGCATATAAAAGTTATGTAAGCTACCAAGTATGCAAAAGCTTTATGTCTACAGAGACAACGCGCATACCTTAATTTAAAACACCTTGCATCTAACAAATGCTAACAATCTTCTGTTCTATTATTGAAAAAGTGCCAAGACATTCACTCAAACATTTGCCACGAACCCTCGATCTGTGAGGAGCGCACATCTACAGATCACAGGAAAGGAGCACAATTAAACGAGGCGTGCGTGTTTGAAAGGGCCTAGTGGTCCCTACTCCTCCACTGCAGTGCCAGGCTAACGCTAGGAACTCTGCTCAGAGTGAAAGAACCCAACTTCAGCAATGCAGACCTAAGCACTGCGCAACTGCACTAGGATACGAACACTCCTATCACCCAGACATAAAAGCCTCATTAGGATCTGTCACTTGCGTCCTGCAAGATGAACAATGAAGGCCAAGTGCAGAGCAGTACCACGGGCAGACTGTGCTGAGCCGCCACTCCATAGTCCTCCATGCCATGAGCTGGGGCCGTGTGCACCAGCCCCGTGCCCTGCGCCACGGTCACGTGAGTTGCAGGTAAGAGAGGCGACACTTTATCTGGAATCAAAGGATGACCACAAGCACCACCTTCCAAATCTATACCTGTGGAGAAAGAAAACCACTATTAGAATGTTCTTGCAGCAGGGTATGGTGGCACACACCTGTAATCCCATCAGTTGGGAGGCTGAGACAGGAGAATCCAAGTTTGAGGCCAGCCTGAGCTATACACTGAGACCCTGACTCAAAATACCAAAAATGACAACAACAAGAGTAAAACAATGAACGGTCTCATATGACAATTCTGCCTCTTTAGGCCTATCAACAGAATGTCAGGTTAAAGGTGCAGAACCCAGGAAAAGACTGGTAAGGCTCAAACCTCCCCTACTCTTTGACGTTCAAGAGGCTGTAGAAAGCAGATGACCATGGTCCCCAGCTCAGGGTGTGGCTGTGGGAACAGTGTTCAGACCTTTTAAGTGTTCCGGACACTTAGCGTGATATTCGCCATACAACAAATGCTTAATAACATTAGCAGTTTTATCTGTGTGCTGCTATTGTAAGAGGTGTCAAGTGAGTCGAAGAAAATGTCTCTGCTTACGTACCACTGTGTAAATTCTGGAATCTAAGGACGAAGACATCTAGGCACCTCTGCGGGAATGAACTTGTGAGACCTAACTAACTCCATTTTAAAGTTTGACTCCATCTTAAAATAAGACAGTGAAGTGGCCTTGACATAAATTCCACTTCACTGAAGTCAACTATTCCCCTAGTCTCCTTTGTGCCCATAAAATAATGATAAAATGTCCTTGCTGTGGGACAACAGATAAAAAAAGAGACACAGCTCCTAACTCAATCCTCTGTCTGCCCAAAAAACAGATGCTCCCAGGCCCATTATCTATAAAACATTCTGTCAATGTGCTGATTGTTCCTTTTTCCCATAAACCCTACATACAGCCACCCCTCAACCCCCCATGCTTGCTAAATATCAACCAATCATGTAACTGCTAAATAAAACATCTCCAAATCTTACAGTAGCCACAATAAAAACCCTGCTGATTTAAAATTTGGGGCTCTCAATCCTGATCCGCTGCGTCGGTGACGACTGAGTGCCCCTGCTCAAGCTTAAATAAATGACCCTCGTGTGTTTACATCAGAATTGGCTCCTTGATTGTCTTTGGGGACTTCGCGATCTGGGCACAACAAACTCACTGCCACCACTTTTGTATTTCTCTAAAAAGGTAAGACACTGTAAGTAACACTTGGCTACTGGGCACCCAGTAACTCAACATAAATTCTCATTTCATTTTCACAACACTATACAAAACAGGTAATACTGTCTTTAATTTACAAACAAGAAAAAGATTCTGGAACAATTAGCAACATCTGGGATCACATGGCTAATAAACAGTTAAACCCAAATTTCAGAGCAAGCCTACTCCGACTTTAATGCTCTACACAATCCTTGTTCGCCTTACCTACGTATCAGCTATTCACTGTCCGGTTCCATTACTGCTTCGCATCTTCACTGTCTCTGGCACTCTGTAAACTCGTTTCTGGGTGTGTGCTACAAATGACTCCAGCCCGGGGAAGAGGGCTGCTCACTTGGCTCTCCTGCCTCGGCCCAGTCGAGCAGCTCCCACAGCCCGTGGCCCTCCGACCTTGCCCACAAGGTGGTCTTCACTCAGACTACAGGATGTTAACTCTTAAAATACTACTCTCACAGAGAACTGCCCCTCTGCTAGGACAGGTTTTTCTGTGTCTCATAATCACAGCTAGGCAGCTCCTTCATATCACCAAAAGACAAAGCAATCTTTTTCATTCTTACATTTAACTTAATAACCTGTTGATGCCTGGCATGGTGGCGTACGCCTGTAATCCCAGCACTTGGGAGGCTGATGAGCAAGGATCACAGCAAGTTCAAGGCCAGCCTGGGCTACATAGTGAAACTCTGTCTCAAAAAAAAAGAAAAATGAAGGGAAGGAGACAGGCCTGGTGTTGCATCCCTATAATCCTAGCACGCAGGAGGATCGCCTCGAGTTCAAGACTGGCCTGAACTACATAGTGAGATCCTGTCTCGAAAAGTAAATAAATAAAGAAACATTTTTTAAAAGGGGGGAAGAGATAAAGGTACGGAGTAAGGAATATCTCCTAACTTTCTGACTGTACCAACAAAGACAAATGTGTTTCAATATCCTGCCTTCACAGAGAAACCTGTCTATTCTGTTACAGTTGTCTGTTTCTACTTCTAATTGGCTTGCGTCTGAACTGATGAGCTCAGAGGGCTTGCCTAACTAGCTACAAAATTTTGAGAATAATGTATGAAAGTGGGTTTTTTTGTTTTTTGTTTTAGATTTTAGTTTTAGTCTCAGTAAAAAGTACATTTCTTAAAAAAAAAAAGTTGCAATAACCATTACAATTAGCAAATTTAACAGCCAACTCTCAATTCATAACAGGTTTTACTCTGCATCAGATTCTCAACAGTCAAAATGAACCTGAAATACCTATTTTGAAAGTGTAGCTCTACCTGCTTCAAATATTGTGTAAAGCATTACATGATCAAATAAAACTGCACCTTATTTACCATATAGTACAGTTAATAGTAAGAGGTATTTTTATTTTTACTGTTCCAACTTAACTGTCAAAGTGTTATCAAATACTTTGTGAATGTAAAACTAAGCTCTCTTAGAGTCTGCCAAGTGATGCCAACAAAAACACTGTAGGGATATTACCTGACTGGGTTGGCTCTTACCAGTCTTTTCTAAGCGCACATATCAGTTAGGGCTATCAACAGGCGGTAGAGCTAAACAGGTTGAAAGCAACGAATAATTCAACATAGAAAGCAAACTCCTATATCCTATTTCACAGGTGTAATTTAACATATTAGTGCCAGATTCTTTTCCCTCAGACCAAAGTCCCTTATTTTCATGGCAAACAGCTGCTTTGAGATTTAGGAATGAAAAGGTATATTTTAAAAAGTACTAGTATCTCTTAGTATGTCTGTTTGATACTACACTTGATCTCAGCCAAAAGGCCGAGAAGCTATAAGTATGTCTGAGTAGGAGTAAAATAAATGAAATCATGGAATCCACTTTATAAATAGAACACGAGTAATAGAAAACGAATCCAGAATCCAGTCAAGCCACCAAGAAGCAAATAAGCAAATTAACTACATCCCACATATGAACAAAACAGGAACTGACAAATGTGAAAAGGGCCAGATAGTAAACATTTTAGTACTTATTGGTTATACATCTGTGTCAGACTACTCAGCCCTGCCATAGTAGCAGGGAAGCAGCCAACAACAGTATATAAATAAGCATAACTGTGTTCCAACAGATCTTCATTTCTGGACACCAAAGTTGTTGTTCATATATTTTCATCCTTTTCAAAACAGTCTTAACTTTTTTCCAACCATATAAAAATATAAAAAGCCATTTTAGCTTGTGGGCAGGACAAAAAACAGGTGGCAAGTGTCACTGTCTGGTCCCTGTACACAAGCTTACCAGGAAAGAACTCCACCCTTTAATTTCTATATTCAAAAACTGATTCCAGGGCCAGGGATTTAGCTCAGTGGTTTCACCACCTGCTGCACAAGCACATGGACCCGCGTTTAATCCCTGGTACCAAAAAAAAAGAAAAACACAAAAAACTGATTCCATCTTATATCCATTTTCTTTTAAAAAGTTTTCATTCTATAAAAATAAATGCTTTAGATATTTTTTAATCATTCAATTATGTAGAAAAATAATTATACTATATTCCATTTTCAGTTCCATAATACTATTTTAAAGGTGAACTTCCTACTCACATGTTTCTTATCCACTTAACAAAGATGCCTTCTGTTGAAAATAAGTAATTTACTGCTGGTGTGTGTGTGCATGGGGAGGGGACACACTATTATTTAAAAAGTCTCCCAATTAGGGTACTGTGTTAGGTATAGAATAGCTCAAGACAGGACTGCTTGTCCCTATATCAAATAGCTTAATTTCCTCATTAAAAATTTGGTTCAATGTTCCTTTTCCTTCTACTTCATCACTCTGTACTGTATCAATTCCTGTCAGCATATCTGCTTATTGTTTAAAGAGCTTAGATTTATCTACAATTATGTTAGTAAAGATAATATAAGAAAATAAAATTACATAGTTTTTCTTCCTTTTGGTATCAACAACTGGAAGGACAGCTTTCAGTTTTAGTCTTACAGAAAAGTAAGAATTACAGCTTAGTATGTCATCTTTGGATTTAAAGAACAAGATTGACTGTTCTTAAAAAAAAAATAATTGTTCTTTTGAGAAAGGCCTAGTAGATAAAAGGAAAAATGGTTAAGATCACAATGTAAAATTTAACATATATTCAAAGAATGGAGTGAACTCTCATTCTTTAAGACTAGTATACAGATCTTCAAATTTGAAGGACTGAGCTTTAAACCTGGCATATAGTAAACATCCCATTAACTGGGCCACAATAAATCATAAATTTAAGCAATCTATAAAAATTGAGACATGGCCTTGAATATAGTTTAGGCTGACTTTGAACTCAATTCCGCCTCAGCCTCCAGTGTTGGTATTACAGATGTGAGCTATCATGCCTCACTGTAATAAATAAATCCTGATAAAGTGATTTCAAAATCCTATTATATGACTTTTGGTTCAATTTTCTGAAGCCCTTTGAATTAAGGCAGCCCTTACAAATAGTTTTAAATATGTGAGAGAAATCTTACACCCAAGCACAATTTCAAGAAAAATTCACCTTTGAGAATCAAATTATTCAATTGTACCTTTCACACAACATTTTATAATGAAACAGAAATTCTCAATGAAATAACATTAACAAATGAAGTTACCAGAAGTCCTCAGTAATATGACTGATGAGAAAAAGTTTGACATATACTCAATATAAAATCTATTCTAGAGGTCCAGGGATGTAGCTCAGTGGTTCCACTGCCTGCCTCGCAAGCTCAAGGTCCCACGTTTGATCCCCAGTATCAAAAAAAAAATCTATTCTAGAAAGCCAGAGATCTTATCTGCTTCAATCCAAGATTAGAACTGTCCCACAGAGTAGTGAACTCAAATCAGCTCAATATATTTTGGGGGGGTACCGAGGATCAAACTCAGGCAGGCGCGGCACCACTGAGCTACATCCCTGGCCCTCAACTCGGTATTTTGATAACTGTGATGATTTGAAAATCTATAAATCTTTACCTGAAAATGTTGATATAACCTCAAATGTTGTGTCCAAAGTAGAAGCAAGAGAGGTGACTTTATCTGCAGCCACTATGTAGCGGTCTCCTGAGGTGGAACATTTCACAACAGCATACCTAACAAAGAACATGGGGCCAAATCAGTAACCATGGAAAAAGAAGAGCCACAAATTAACATTTTAGCCTTAAATATCGTTTTAGAAAAATTAACATCAAGATCAAAAAGTTGGATGGAGGGCCAGGATATAGCTTAGTGGTTCTGCTGCCAGCACCCCCGCAGGCACAAGGACCCAAGTTCAATCCCCAGTACCAAAGAAAAGCTAGATGGAAAGGGAAGGAAAGGGAAGTTAAAAGAATTCGGATGTGTCATATACATCCACCGACTTCCCACAATGAATGTGATCATTATGTACTGCAAACGTGTACTAATAAAAATAAAAATTTTAGGGTCTGAGGATTTAGCTCAGTGGTTCCACCACCTGCCTTGGAAGCGCAAGGACCTGAGTTCAATCCCCAGTACCAAAAACAAATAATAAATACATAAATAATAAAAATAAAAAATTTTAAGAAGATCAAAAAGTACTATTTCCAGGGCCAGAAATGTAGTTCAGCAACTCAGCACCTCCCTGGCAAACTCCAGGCCGAGTTCGATTCCTGGTACCAAAAAAAGGACTATTTCCAAAATGCTCCATACTTTACACCACAGGAATTACAACTCACTCAACTCCAAGAGGGTGAGGATGGAATAAACTCGGCACGGCACTAATGATGGAGCGAAGCCTCTGTGCAGATAAAGCACGAAATGCAGCGGAGACCCTACCTGGACTGCGGCGAATAGCACACGGCCTGGTTGGCTGGCACTGTCCACGGCTGCGTGGTCCACACCAGCACGCTCACGGGTGCGGCGCCATCTGCGGGGAGAAGTGCCAGCCCATGAGCATGCGCTACAAGCCCACCCCGTGCTGAGCTTCCAAGCACTGCTCACTGCTCACCGAGAAGCGAGGCCAGCTTCAGGGGAGGCGTCCGGAGAGGGAACGTCACGTACACGGAGCGGCTGGCGTGCTCAGGGTTATACTCAAGCTCCGCTTCTGCCAAGGCTGTCCTGAGGGTTAAAGATAGTTCACATAAACCCTCGGAAGCCTCACACGTTTCTCCCCTTTAATCTCTAAGGAACACTCTATACCTTGACGAGGGAGACCAAAACACAGGCTTGTAGGACCGATAAACCAAACCCTGCAAGAGACAAAGGTACTGTGTAAAAGCTGAAATGTAGCACCCACTTCAGCACACTGGGAAAAATACTGTATTACCTTATCATACATCTGGTAAAAGAGTCTCAACTGTTTGGCCTCATACTTCCCATCAAATGTGTAGTAGCAATTATTCCAATCTGCCATTATTCCCCAGCGAATAAATGCTGACTTCTGTTTCTCAATTGCCGCTTGAGCAAATGACCTAGCTAAAGAAGGAAAGAAACGAAAAGCTTCCGAAAGCCAACCAATTCAAATTCTTAAGCATGGGTCAGCATGTAGTGCTCTAATTGCAGGCGTTATCCACAGTGGAGACTTCTTTTTCAATCCTGGGGGTGAACCCAGGGCCTCTGCACTTAGCTACATTATCAGCTCTTTGTATTTGAGACAGGGTTTCACTAAGTCGCCAGGTAGGACTCAAACTTGCAGTCCTCCTGTGTTGGCCTCCCACGTGATTACAGGCAAGACTAGGAAAAATGTTAATAGAGTACTTGAAGGTGTTCACAACTGGAATTTCCAAAGTTAAAATCTTATTACAGTTTTCTGTATTTTCCAGACAATGACCTACATTTAGAAAAACTAAGCTGAAAAATTATTCTTCATCATTTCTTTCTTGAGTTTTTGCTGCTAGCGATCGGAATCCAGGGTCTCATGCATGCCAGGCAAGCACTCTACCACTGAGCTACCTCTCCAGGCCAGCCTTATTCTTTCTTTTTTTTTTTTGGTACCGGGGATCGAACTCGGGACCTTGCACTTACGAGGCAGGTGCAGGAACCACTGAGCTAAATCCCCAGCCCAACCCTATTATTTCTTAATTTAAGGAAAGTCGTGGAGTAGGGGTTTTTTTTGGTTTTTTTTTGGTACCAGGGATTGAACTTGGGTCCTTGCGCTTATGTAGCAGGTGGCAAAACCACTGAGCTAAATCCCCAGCCCTGTAGAGTAATTCTTAATTTATTATACACCAAAAAAAAAAAAAAAATTAACCAGCACATTGAGTCTAAGTCAATGATGGTGTGCTTCACAAGGAAGCAAAAACATCTTCACAATCACAACCTAACAGCTAACATCTAAGAAAGAAGATTCAGGGCCGGGGATTTAGCTCAGTGGTTTCACCACCTGCTGCGCAAGTACAAGGACCGAAGTTTGATTCCTGGTACCAAAAAAAAAAAAAAAAGATTCCTCTCTGACCAAACCTATGAAGAAAAGGGCCAAGCAAGAGATTAATTCAAAAACAGGTAGGGCCAGGGATTTAGCTCAGTGGTAAAAGCTCAAGGTCCCGAGTTCCATCCCTGGTACCAAAACAAAAAAACAAAACAGGTATTTTAGGATTTATTTTGGGTCAGTACCTCAAATAGATAAACAACTAACAAAAACTGTAATTTAATAAAGTACAAACATTAAAAGTTGACAAATTCAACTGAATATATTCACACCATCTTTCCTTCTATCTCTATACAAAATCAATTACACAAAACCTGAGGGTTCTGAGATACCAAGCAGTTATCAACAGATCTCATTACAAGCAAACCAGCCCTGGCTTTTCCAAGCAACCTAAGTGTTTACAGAAATAGAGATTACAATGGCCATGGTGTGCACACCTGTAATACCAATCTCAACTCAGGAGGCTGAGGCAGAAGACCACAGTTCTAGGCCAGCCTAGAACCTAGGGAAAGACTCTGTCTCAAAAGAACAAAACAAAACGGAAACAGAGATTGCAAATATTAAGGCAGAAATAGAGATCATTTACCTTTCTCTCTAATTTCCATAACTGAAAGATTCTGAGCTTTTCCACCAAGTTCGGATAAAACTTTTATCTCAATGGGCAGCCCATGGCAATCCCAGCCAGGCACAAAGTGGATTTTGGACCCTCGCATCATATGGTACCTATTGGCAATGTCTTTCAAAATCTGCAAAGATGAAATGATAATCATTCAAATATGAAGCATGTTGCCCACAATTTTTAATTTTCTCTTAATGTGATACCATTTTAAAGCACTGAGAAAGCCTAGTTTTAAAAGGATTTTGTAAAATGACCTATTAAATATACCAGTTCAAGTGCTAAACACAGAAGTAACAGATACCTGAACTTTTAAACTGTTATTAACTCCAGCTCAAAAAAATCAAACAAGAGATTTTAAACTGAAAAATGTTATGCTCAAAATTACTGATTTGCTTGAAAAGCTGGAATCCAGAAAAGAGCACCCCATTCTGTGATTAAATATTTTTGATCTTTCACAAACAAGAATATATGTAAGTGAACCAGGATTTTCCTTTACCTATGCAAAAAAATGAACTCTACCATTGTTATTGTTCATGCTTGACTACGAAAAACCATGGAATAACTGCAGAATGTACAGTGCACTGGGCTATTTTCCAGCTTCACTGGAAAATATGTCATGTTTAAATTTGTATTTATCATTGTCATTTTTGATTACAAGAGTAATATAAAGTCCTTGTTCAAACAATTAAAATGTTAAAAAAATAAGTATTAAGTTTTTAATCTTAACAAAATTGAGTAATAACACAACACGGCTTTAAAACTTGCTTTTCCATACTTACTTATCAGATTTGGACATCTTTTATGTGGAGATCTACCATATAGAGATCTATCTCATTTCTTTTAAGGTTGTATACTACCTCATTGCTGGGATTTACTTACAAGCTTCATTAAGAGTATCTAGTATGGTCACATATGATGCAAGATTAAAACAGGGTAATTAATACTTCTTTTAAATAAACCACAGCTGGCCCTTCTAACAAAAAGCTGTTATGTGCCAATGTAAATTCACATCATCACACGTTTTACCAGGTATTTAGGGAAACATTTTCTCTCAAGTCGGATAATCTAGATTCCAATTACCTTATTTAAAGCATGTCCCACGTGAGGGTCACCATTGGCATAAGGAGGTCCATCATGAAGACAAAATTCTGTCTTTACTTTTCTTTCTCTTTGCCATGAATAAAGTTCTGAAAACCCACATTTCTGGTTAAAAAGAACATCGTATCAATACACACTGCAGTCTTATAAGTTACACCCAACATTTGTTTACTTCTCAACCCATCCTAATCTACTGGTTCCTGAAATATAAAGGAAGATTCTGGAATGCACATCTGCGTATTCTCCTCTTACAGCTCTTCAGCAGTACTTATGGACAGACGAAAAAAGTCCTTTCCCAGCACTCGGGAGGCTGAGGCAGGAGGATCACTGCGAGTTCAAGGACAGCCTGGGCTACATACTGTAGCATGATCCTGTCTCAAAAAACCAAAAAATTAAAAATAAATAAGCCCTCTTCTGCAACCTAGAACCCATCGCTAGTGTGCATTCTGATACACGCAAGAGGATGTATCACGCCAGGTGCAGCGGTTCAGGCCTGTGATCCTAGCACTCCTGAGACTGAGGCGGGAGGAATGACAGTTTGAGGCCAGCCTGGACTCCACAGTGAGACTGCCTCCGAAAACAAGACCAAACTATACCTAACAGATTAAAGTCATGAGAAGCGCTGATAACCACTAAGGCTGCTTCCAAGACAAAAGCGCTGTTCACCAGCACGGGACAGGAGCAAACTCTCAGCCCTGCCCACTCAGCCCTGCAAGGCTCGAGGCTGACGCGCGAAGATAGCTCCTCTCTCTTAGAGGCTTGGACAGGGTGTGAGTGGAAGAACTGTTTGATCGCGTTTGATTAAATGTACCAAGCAGTAAATCCGATTACGAGTCCCACAAGTTGTCGTAAGAGATTGCACTTTTCTTTAAAACCCCACTTTCCGGTAGTTTCCGGCGCAGCTCGGCCCGCGCCCCCCGCCCCATCTCCCCGGTCCGGAGGCGCCGGGGTCACCGCGCCCTCCAGGCCCGGACAGCGCCGAGGCCGCGGCAGGGGGCGGCCCGGGAGGCGACCGAGGGGCCGCGGGCTCCGGTCCGCCGCACCTGCTGGATCTCCAGCTCCGTGTCCGGCTGGCGGCGGCCCGGCAGCCGCATGGGGAAGGCGGTGCGCGGCAGCAGCACGGTGTCTCGGTACCGGCCGCGGTCCGGGCTGGCCGCCAGGTCTCCAGCCCCCGAGGCTGCCCGCACCGGAGGGAGACGCGGGGACCAGGGGGGCCCCCAGCGGCTGCGGGCCACGGCCACAGCTGCCGCCCCCGGCCCGCGAGAGCGCAACCCCCAGCGCATGGCGCCCTCAGCGCCCAGGCAGCTTCCGGAACTTCGGCGCGCTGCAGTGCGCCTGCGCGGAGACCTCGCGCCGCGGAGACCCCAGGGACCCTAGGTTGTGCGCAGGAGTACGCATGCGCCGGAGCCGGAAGGGCGTGGCAGCGCGAGGCTTTCCGGGTATCTTTCCGGAGTGGTTCCGGGTCCTTGCGGCAGCCCTATGGACAGCGCCCTCCTTGTAATGAGGTCCCCCACCGCGCGGTGGCGCTCGCCGGCACGCCCCGCGCGCGGGGAAGCTGAAGCAGGAGCATGGCAAGCAAGGGCAATTTAGCAACTGAGCGAGACCCTGTCGCAAAATAAAAAATAAGGGCTAAAAGGGGCTGGACGTGTAATTCAGTGCGAAGCCTTGAGTTCAATCCTCAGTACTGGGAAAAAAAGATTATTTAATACAGTAACCTGTGATACAACTTCAGTTTGGAATCAGTAGAAGTTACCACGGTGCCCCGCACCTCCTCACCCTGGGTTGAAACGCGAAACATCGCCCGCGGGCGGAGCCAGGCCGCTGGTGAGCCATCCTGAGACACCCGTGCGTGGCGCGTGGGCCTGCTGGGAACGGCCTTCCGCATCACAAAGCAGGGGGCCCAGAGCGCTGCTCCACTTGCAGAAAACACTGACAGCTTTACTGCGTTTTCAAACAAAGGTAACCCAGGCTGGCCTCAGACCTGCAACCTTCCGGCCTCGGCCTCCCTAGGGCTGAGAGCACAGATGTACATCACCGCACTTCATTTGAAAACCAGTAGATTTCCTACAGAAGTGAAAGAAGTATGTACAGAAAAAGATACCAGGGAGTGAGAAGGCAACAGGAAGCGCTTGATCAATGCCTGCACGTTACGAGGCAGCCTCCCACGCTGTGCCTCTATTGCCACATTTAGCCTTCAGGCCAGGCGAGATCAGATGCGAGGCCAGGCACAACACAGAGAAACAGTGCTGTCAAGGAGGGCTCAGGAGGGTTCCCCTTTACTTTGGTTTTTAGACAGGCTCCCAACAGCCTGTGATCCTTCTGCCTCAGCCTCCTGGGTGCAGGGATGACAGGTGTGCATCACCACAGCCAGCAAGGATTCCCTTTCTTTCTTTTTTTTTGTTTGTACCGGGGATCAAACTCAGGACCTTGTGCTTACAAGGCAGTCGGCAGCCCCACTGAGGTGAATCCCTGACCCCAAGGGTTCCCACTTTAAAGATAACATCAAGGCAGACAAAGTTAAGTAAGTTGTGAAGGTCACACAACTAAGAAGTAGCAGAGCTAGATTCAAGCCCAGGTGGTTAGGCTCAGGGTCACCTCCCTGGGACCTCACTGCAGAGAAAACATATGCATCACGTTACAAAACTGGACGGCACACACGGCAGACTTGCAAGTTCAAACCCAGCCTGGACAACTCAGCGAAAACCATCTCCAAAGTAACAATTTAAAAGGACTGGGGATGCAGCTCAGCATGAAGGCCCTGGGCTCAAGGTCCAGAACCTCGAGTGCGTACGCACACACACGCACACGTGTGCACACACACACACATGCATGCACGTGCACACACTCACACTCACACATGACTATAAAGAGTTCCTACATATCAAGGAGATAAATATTAACAACCCAGTAGGAAAAAAGGGAAAAGATAACATAGGCAATTCATAGATATACAGAAATAGCCAAAAAACTTCAAGGATGGGCTGGGGATGTGGCTGAGGGGTAGAGTGCTGGCCTTGTGTACTCAGGGCCCTGACTTGGATCCCCAACACTGCTAAATAAACAAATTTGAGAAATTATATAAAATACTAGAAATTATATATTTATAAATTACATAAATTTATATAATTGTAGAAATCATATAAAATTATATAAATAAACAAATTTTAGAGATTATATAAATTTTAGAAATTATGACTCCAACTTTAAGAGTCATAAGCACAACCAGCCAAGATAACATTTCTCCAGATAACAGATTGCAACCAAAGTTAAGCAGTGTGAGGACGGCTGGGGGTAGCCCAGAACACGCACTGTTTTCTTGCATGCCATTTAGTAATGTCCATCAATTTAAAGATTCTTTTTTTGAGACAGTTTCTCACTATGTATTCCAGGCTGGACTTGAACGCACTGTATAGCCCAGGCTAGCCACAAAGTTGTGGCGATCCTCCTGCCTCAGCCTCCCCAGGGCTGGGATGACTGGCGTGCACCACCACGCCCGGCTTTCTTATTTTTTTCTCCAATGCTAAGTGTTTATAATAGCAATAAAACTTCCTACATGCAACTGAAAAATGACAAGAAGGGACAAAACACTCATTTTATTTTGTGACAAAGACTCGCTAAACTGCCCAGGCTGGCTCCGAACCTGCGAACCTCCGCACCAGCGGGGTTACAGATGCAGCTCGGGAGCGGGCCCTGCCACTCAGGCGCGGCCGTCAATCTCGTCTGGCGCGGCACCCGAGGCGAGCCTGCGCAAAATGCGGACAAGTGGAATTTTCTGGCGCTGCCGGAGTCGGAGCGGGCAGTGGCAAGTGGCTCTTGTGCGCCTGCGCGGGACGTCCTGCCGTGCCCTATGGACTGCGGGGAGCGCGTAGTGAGCGCCGTGAGAGAACTGGAGTTTGAGGACGCGGTTTCTGGTTGTCCCTCGAGTGTCTTTCGCCTAACGTCGTTGCAGCCTTGGCACGGTAAGTTTCTCCTCTGCCGGGAAGGGCAGGGCGTGGGCACAGCTCCTAATTTGTTTCCTTAACTCCACCATCCTTTTGCACAGATAAGAGGAGATTTAAAGGATTTATGTTTTTAAAAACAAAGTTTACGCAAATCATGCTGCCTCTCCAGATATCTCGGTTACAATCTTAGATGTCGACATTTTATTTTCTTTTTTATTGGGGGATTTGAGACAGGGTCTCGCTATGCAGTTCAGGCTGGCCTTGGACTCACTGTGTAACCCAGGCTGGTCTCGAACTCGCGGCGATCCTCCTGCCTCAGCCTCCCCAGTGGTGGGATTACAGGTGTGCACCACCATGCCCGATGCGTGTGAACATTTTATCTGTGCCTTTATTTTCGTGCTCTGGGGTTCTTTCCTAGCTAAATATTGAGCCCTTTGATGCACCCAAATTTAGAAATCCTTCCGCCTAACGCTGTTTTATTACAATAGCCGATACTTCCGGTTGCCATTTGCACATACTGCAGGCATGCAGGACGTGCTGAGCCTCCCTGTGCATACGCTGAGCCTTTCTGAGGAAGTTTCCTCCTCCGCGGGTGCTCAGAGCGAGTTCCCCGCCCTCTGGGACCCGTCCCCCTGTGCTGGCCACTCCAGTCTGAGACATTAAGCAGCCACTTTGCCCTGCTTTGGTTGCATTTCTGTCATAAACTGTGAAGTTGAGCCTTTTGCTCTGTCCTTGGTCTGCTTTTCTGCTAGGTTATTCACCGTTGGCCTGCGGATACATGGAGCCTGTACAACTGAGCTCAGCTGTCTAGTGTGTGACACTGATTTTTTTCTCCTTTTGTCAGTTCTCTGTTAACTCTGTGTAGGGTATTGGCTATGTAGAAGTTTTCATTTCTGCGCAAATTCACCAATATATTGTATTGTTTTATGAATTCTTGGTTTTATGCTTTCCAGGCCTTCACAAGTTTATAAAATGTCTCTGTACTTTTATGTTTCGTGCTTTAGTTTTAATAAAAAACCACTCATTGGGGCCGGGGATTTAGCTCAGTGGTTCTGCCGCCTGCCTCACAAGCTCAAGGGCCTGAGTTCGATCCCCGGTACCAAAAAAAAGAAAAGAAAACAACAAAAAAAACCCATTCATTGACCCAGAGTGCATTTTTATATAAAGAATGCAAAAGAGAGCCAATTTTTTAAAACAAGTTAGCCGTTGCCTGCCATTTACGCACAACTGACTTTCCTCCTTGGTTTTTAAATATCACCCGAAGTGCATTTGGATTTGTCTCTGGAATTTATTTGATTCCGCTTACCTGTCTGAACTGCTGTAGTTTTACGTCACATTCTGACACCTGGCAAGGGGAGTCTCTATTTCTGGTTCTCCTTCAGAATTTGCTCTGTCACGTTGACATTTTCATTTTTCCACATGACTTTGAACTTTAGCCTTGTTTGGCCAGGTTCCAAAAGAAAAATGATTTCAGTTTTAGATACTAATCCCTCCTGTGCTCACCATTTTTCTACCGGACTAAAGATGCCTCACCCAGGCCAGGAGAAGAACCTGCTTGTTTTAACTCCTGTGATTTTTCATCCTTCTGAATTAGCCTTGTCGTTAGTTGTAAACTTTGTGTTTTGTTTTGTTTTGTTTTGTGCAGAGCTGGGGATCAAACCCAGGGCCTTGAGCGTGCCAGGCAAGGGCTCAGCCTTGGAGCTACTTTTCCAGCCCTGTAAAGATTTCTTAAATCCTAGCCAGGCAAGGTGATGCACAACTGTAGTCCCAGCACTCAGGAGGCTGAGGCAGGAGGATGCTGTGAGTTCAAGGCCATCCTGGGCTACATAGTGAGTTCAGGACCAATCTGGACTACACAGCAAGACCCTGTCTCAAAAAAAAAAGATTTCTTAAGTGGATAGGATTAGGTTGGTTTCCTTAAGGGGTGCACAGCCTCTCTCATAAGGAACCTGTGCTGAGACTCAGGGCATAGTGACCCTGAAGTCGAGGGTCCTTGCAGAAGCTGTGGGAACTGTGACCCTGTGTTCCAGGCCCCTCTGGACAGCAGAAATAAGAACCAGCATGCGAATGGTGCTTAGCCAGGGTTGTTTGATGCTCACCTGTCACAGAAGTGCTGCCCTCTGTTGTTGGGTTAGCAACGAGCCAGTCTTCTACTGGGGGCAGTCATGTTGTAGGACACAGAGCCGCACCTCTCCAGGTTCAAGCCTGAGAATTCAAGTGGCTTTGTCTATGGGGCACCGGGCCAGGGTGTGAACATGGCCAGTGGTTCGGGGCTCAGTGCCTTCACCACCCAGCTGTCCTGACTCGGCCTCACGGAGGGAGTGCGCCGAGACCCAGAGGAAGGCCGTGGCGTGGTTTACCTTAGCCTGTTGCTGATGCCTGCCTGGTTCTTAACTCATCTGTAACCACAGGAACTGGTTCTCATTTGCGACGTGGTTGGGGACAGGATTTAAAAGGCTAATAGGAACTTCTGCAGATTCTGTGCTTTGATCATACGGTTAAATACATTTTCCTTACACCAACAGCCACAAGTGTATCTGCGTGTTTAACAAATATTTAAGAAAGCCACTAGGGCTGGGGTTAGTGACAGATCACTACTGCCTCAGCGTGGCCACTGGGTGGGACTGCAGAGAACTGCAGGCTGCTTCCACGTTTCTGCCTGAAAGTGATTTGTGGGTTGTTTTGAAAAATCACTGCTGTCCCGGATGTTAGACTGGTTTTTTTGTTTGTTTGTTTGTTTGTTTGTTTTTTCCCGTTCTTTTTTTTTTCATTCTCATTTCTTATAAATGGACATTAGCTTTCCGTGGTGCTTAATAAATGCAGTGCACAGTTTGTGAGGAAGGTGGAAGACACAAAACCTGGAAGCTGACCTTGGCACACGAAAGGGCTGTGGCTTAGTCACGGGGAGGGTTGCACAGCCGAAGCAAGGGGCACCCAGAGCCACGCCCTCCGGGGGAGGGACCTCCAGGCCACAGGCGGGGCCCTACAGGGTGCCACAGACTGCACACTTCCACGCCGTGTAGACACCGGGCGGGCACACTTGTCCAGTTAGGGACACGTCGACATCCGCCCAGTCATGGAGACACGGAAGTATTAAATCATTTCTCCTCATTTCTATTTGCGGTATTGATCATAATGGACCAGTTCATTCCCTGTGTAACACCTAGTATCTCAAAAAATTATATAGTAAAATCAACTGAATTAAAATACTTATTAGAAACCCATTTTATTTTCATCATAATTCCAAACAGCTATTGGCCAAAGTATGGAATTCATTACCATACATATATTTTACTGCCCTTTTTTTGCTTCTTGTTTGTTTGTTTACGATACCAGGGATTGAACACGGGACCTTGCCCTTGGAGGCAGGCATGGAACCACTGAGCTAGTCCCCGGCCCTATTTCCCTTTTTTTTGAGACAGGGTCTTGCTGTGTGGCCCAGTCTGACCTCGATCTCCAGGCAATGCTCCAGCCTCAGGCTCCCAAGTGCTGGGATCACAGGCATGCACCACCACGCCTGCCTGGCCATTTCCATCTTTAGAAGGGTTTCAAACACTTGTTTATTGTCTCGAGTGTGTAAACAGATTGCGGATGGTAGAGATGGGCAGGCTTCAGCATCCCCTCCAGCACAGGGCAGCGGCACAGTGAGGGTGGGACTGAACCTGAGCCGATTCCCGATTCCCAGGGGGCGGAGTTCTCCTTACCCGGGTCTGCTGCCTGGGGCCTTGGGCTGGCTCCCCCGCGCCTGGGAGGTCCCCAGGACAGACACCGGGGGTCACTTGTGGGAGGGCGGGCCATGTGGCTCCGAAGCCGCCAGAGTGGCAGCCTGGTTGCCGTGGAGACTGCCTGGCGCTTCCTGGGGCGGGTTCCGGCTGAGGTCCAGGCTAGCAGCGGGGTGCGCCTTGTCGCCCAAGTCCTCCTGCCCCCTGCCCTGTCCACTGTTGAGATGGGGCAGAGAAAACAAATGAGATCTGTGCGAGCTGTGGGTTTCAGGAGATAGCTACAGTCGCGGGGTGCAGCGTCGGCGAGGGCGACGCTGTGAAGCCCCTGCCCCTTGAAGATCACCCGCGTGCGCGTCAGTCCGTGCGTGGCCCACACCTGCGTGTTTGTTTGTTTTTCAGAGCTGAGATTGAACCCAGGACCTCACGCGCTAGGCCAGCACTTTTCCATCAAGCTACAGCCCCAGCCCTTTTTAAAGTTTTATTTCAGTTACGGTCTCCCGAGTTGCCCAGGCTGAGCTTGAACTTGGCGGCCTCCTGCCTCCGCCTCCTGAGTGCTCGGATTACAGGCGTCCGTGCCTGCCTGGCCCTGACCAGTTTTATGTTACAGACACCGGGTTGCAGCCTTTTCACCACCACCCTCCAGAACATCAGCGCCTCAAAGGCAGCTGTGCTTCCTCTCTGACGCAGTTTCCAGGGTTCGCACGTTGCACGCCTCACTCAGCTTCCTCACACCCCGAGGCTCACGGCCGGGCCAGAGGAGCGCCAGTAACCGTGCACTGAGGCCCCAGCCCGGCTCTGGAGTCACTCCCGCCTTCTCCCGCAGGGCCATGGCGTCCGGCCCGGCCGTGCTCATGCGCCTGGTGGCCTCGGCCTGCTCCATCGCGCAGAAGGCAGGCACGATCGTCAGGCGCGTGATCGCCGAGGGAGACCTAGGCATCGTGCAGAAGGTACCGGCACTGCAGCCCCCACAGCGGGCTCCCTGTGCTGCCCAGGACGGGCGTGGGCGGTTCGGGTGGCTTTGGGAGTGATCTGGCCCCCAGCTGGTATCCGCATCTGTGATCATTAACTTCATCAGGGCTTAGAAATAAATGAATTTATGCTGGCCCCAAAAGGGGCGTGGCGGGAAGGAGGCACAGGAGAGCACCGAGGTGTGTCACGGACATGTACCAGTATTCCGTGATGAGTATACAGGGCACCCTTGGCTTACCAACTCAGTGCACTCACAAGGGCTGGTTGTAAGTCAAGGTGGTCAGTTGAAGGCTCAGGCTTCTCTACACAGCCTTCAAGTAATCCTTCCGCTGAGACAATGGGCAAACTTCCTTGTCAGGCATCCTCATGTCACTGCAAAAGTGGTGAAAATTCTCCTTTAAGACAATATAATCTGTAAACCTACCTAACCAGTCTTACATAAAAGTCATAATCCTGGGAAGGCAAACTAACAAGGAAACTGTGGTGTCGACTGCAAAATTCTCCACTGTCTTTCGGTAGAGTAACTGTGTGGACCGAGGGAACCGGCTGGGCCATGCAGTAACAGTCCCGCTGTTCGTGTTCCTCAGATTGTAGAAACAGAGAGTCTTTCCCTACACCTGTGAATTGTCTTGAAAACCTCTTGAGCTATTAGGATTAGTGGGGAAAGTTTTATATACATGTACTTTCAAATGCTTCAATATAGTATTTAATCTTCTAAAAAATTCATAAATTTCTTGTATGTAAATTCCTCAAAAAACTAAAACTAGAAATTCCATGTGACCCAGCTATAACCCTTCTCAGCATCTTCCTGAAAGAGTTAAAGACATTCTATTACAGTGATCCACGTACAACGTAACCATGTTTGTAGCAGCCAAATTCATAATAGCTGAATCTCGGAAGCAGCCCACATGTCCATCAACAGAGGAATAGATAAAGGAAATGTGGTATTTACACACAGTGGAGTACTACCCTGCCGTAAAGAAGGACAAATTTGAATGATATGTATAGGAAAACGGATGCACCTTGAGACCATAATGTTAAGTGCAGTAAATGAGACACCCAAGCTTCAGTATTGCACGGTTTCTCTTATATGGGAAACCCAAAATATAAGTCAAGAGCAAAATGAAAGATAGATAATAGGAAAGAGGGAGACGGATCTTTCTCCACTTGATCTTAGCCAAAAGGCCGAGAAGCGATTTTTTTTTTTTTTGGTACCAGGGATCGAACTCAGGTCCTTGTGCTTGCACAGCAGGCGGCGGAACCACTGAGCTAAATCCCCCGCCCAAGAGACAGATCTTTCTCAAAGGCAAAGGGACCAAGAGTTGGAGGGGGGGCAGGGGGGGCAGGGGGGGAGGGAGAGGGGTGGAATCCGTTATGGGCAGGCACCAGCTCCCCACAGGGAGTGCCACCGGCATGTCATGGGAACATGTACTAGTAGAAATAAATGCTGAAAAAATTATAAGTTTCCAATCTTTTTTTTTTTTTTTTTTTGGTACCGGGGATCGAACTCAGGTCCTTGCGCTTGCGTAGCAGGCGGCGGAACCACTGAGCTATAAATCCCTGGCCCAATTTCCAATCTTTTAACCCGTTTTTTTTATTTTACATTTTCATTTTTATTAGTACAAAATGATCCCATACTTCTTGCGGAGCTGGTACCTCTACCTAACGTGTCTCGGTTCTTTTACTTCCCTCCCCCCTCGCCCGCCTCGGTCCTCTGTCCTCTTTCCCATTTGAGTGATTGATCCATCAATTGGAGAAGAAAATACTCTGAATCGTTCAGAAGTGAGCATTTTTCCAGACTCTGCCCACTCTCGGGCTGGGGCTCAGCCCCAGGATGGAGCATGTAGCTGATGGGCCCGGCTGGATTTCCTAGCCACACCACACACACACACAAAAAAACCTTCCAGGGCCGGGGATGTAGCTCAGTGGTTCCACTGCCTGCCTCCCAAGCACAACATTCCGAATTCAATGCCCGGTACCAAAAAAAAACTCTCCAGACTTTAACCACGACTGGCCCAATGAGGAAGGAGAAGCCGGTTGACTGTCTCTGTACAGCCTTCGGGCACGATATGAAGTACACACCGCCCGTGCAAACGTTTGGAAACAAGACTTCGCCTGTCCCAGTGCGGTTTGCTCCCTATCTTGCAGACCTGTGCTACGGACCTGCAGACCAAGGCCGACCGGCTGGTGCAGATGAGCATCTGCTCTTCCCTGGTGCGGAAATTCCCCAAGCTGACCATCATAGGAGAGGAGGTAAACACGGACGGTGCAGGATTCTCTGTCCCTGGTGGCTGGGGATTTCCACTGTTCTCCGGCCCCGTGTCTTGGCACAAGGTGGCCCCATATTTCCTGGAGGAAACACTTCCTTTTGAGCTGCTCTGGTCCCTTCTGAGGCCCGACTTCTCGGTGCCTTCCTCTGAAGGACAGGGCAACAGTTGCAGTACTCACGAAGGGCCGGGCAGTGCAGCTCGGTCGGGGAGTGCTGGCCCAGGACGTGGGAGGCCCAGATTCAGTGTCACTGCCACAAAGCGGGGGGCAGAGTTTGGGGCAAGGGGTGTAGCTCAGTGGCAGAGCGTCTGCCGAGCAAGCGCGAGGCACTGGGTTCAGTACCAGCACCACAGAGTAAAATAAGAAAGCCAGCAGAGTACTCAAACTTTGGAATAGAATGGGCTTTGTGAGTTTCTACAAGTAGGCTCACCTGTATACGTATCCAGAGACCATAGCACTTTAAAAGTGAGAATACATATCTCTTCCCCTTTTTTTGAGAAGAAGATTGATTTTTTGAGACAGAGTCTCACTATGTAGCCCAGGCTGGCCTGGAACTCACTGCGATCCTCCTGCCTCAGCCTCCCAAGTGCTGGGATCACAGGCATGCCGTCCCACAGCCAGCTCTGACATATCTCTTCTAATTGAGAGTAGAGTATGTTTCAAGTCTTTCCCCTCTTAATCCTGCTCAGGATGGTGATGTTGGGACCATTTAGCTGATCTCGATGCACCTCATAGTGGCCCTGGTGGTCTCAGTAGGTTTGCTTTGTAGGATCTGACCTTGAGCGGTGAGGACATGGACCAGCAGGGAGGGGTCACTGCATCGCTTGGTGCGGGGGGCGCAGGGTGATCGGTGACCCCAAGCAGGTGGGTGACTGTCCGCATTGCCCTTGTCTGTGGCGCAGGACCTGCCCCCGGAGGATGTAGACCAGGAGCTCATCGAAGACGGCCAGTGGGAGGAGGTCCTGCAGAAGGCATGCCCTACGCAGTACCTCGCCGTTAAAGAGGAGGACGTAAGGCTCATGTCGAGCTCACACTCTTAATCCCTGCAGGGCAGGTGGAAAGTCAGTAGCTATGCTTTTGAGACAGGATCTCTGTTCGTTGTTCAATCTGGCCTTATATTCACTGTGTAGTCCAGGCTGGCCTCGAACTTGCAGCGATCCTCCTGCCTCAGCCTCCTGAGTGCTGGGATCACAGGCATGTGCTACACACCAGGCCAGGAACTTGAAATCTTTCAGAGCCATCCAGAAATGTTCTTTAGCCACATGCGACATCTGACCTGTTGACTTGGAGTCCAGCATCTCATCTTGTAGGTTTCCTTTCTTTCCACCTTGAAACCATTATTTATTTTTTGTTTTGTTTTTTGGTACAGGGGATCGAACTCGGGATCTTGCGCTTTCGAGGCAGGCAGCGGAACCACTGAGCTAAATCCCCGGCCGTCCTGAAAACATTATTAAAACTACCATTATTAAAAATACTTTCAGGAGGGCCGGGGATTTAGCTCAGTGGTTCCACCGCCTACCTGATAAGCGCAAGGTCCCGAGTTCGATCTCCAGTTCCAAAAAACAAAAAAAAAATACTTTCAGGAAGAAAATCGTATTTTTTTTGTGTAGTGTATTTGATAGCAAAAGATCTCATTGAGTTGAGCATGATAATCCCAGCTGTTCAGGAGGCTGAAGCAGGAAGATCACACATGCAAGGCCAGCCTGGGCAATTTAGTAGGGCACTGTCTCATAATAAAAAAACAGAAGCCCGGGGTAGGTGGCTCAGTGTAATGCTTGCCTACAATGTGTGAGGTCCTGGGTTCAAACCCAGTACCACAAAAAAATGTGTTTAATTGCTAATTGGGACCAGAAGGAGATGAAACAGGTTACTATCTGATGTTTTCAGCTGGCCAATCATCTTACTACTGTAGTTGCTTAACATAAATTAGTCTGTGGCTTCAGATTTAACTGTTCTTCTATAGTTTTCTATCTTTAAGTCACTTGACACATTTATTGAATGCGAACTACCATGAGTAAGGCACTTTGCTCTGTGGTGTGGAAGATACAAAGGAAAGGGGACATGGTGTTGTCCATCAGAAATGTGCTCTTGCTGGGGATGGTTGGTGCATGCTTGTAATCCCAGCACCCTGGGAGGCTGAAGCAGGAGGGTTCCAAGTTCCAGCCTAGCCTGTGTAATTTAATGATTTAGTAAGACCTGTCTGAAAATAAAGGATAGAAAGGACTGGGAGGTAGCTCAGTGTAAGGGCTTCCCAGTACCAGAAGAAATAAACAAATAGATGGAAAGAAACGTGCACCCAGCAAACAGATTCACATCAGGTTGTAACTCCAGGAGTTCACGGCAGCCTGTTCCGAGTAACCCTGCACTCCCTGAGCACCAGGAAACTTTGTTCTTAAACTGTTGTCAGTTTCGTGAGCCATTTGTTTTTCGTTGGCTAATCAGAACTGTGTCCTGGAGGAAATCAGAATTTTCAAAAAATCAGTACATATAAAAATCAGACGTGAGCGCACATGGTTCCACTTTGCAAGTTGTTCTGATACTGTGTCTAGTACTAGACTGTGTCTAAGATCTGTGTTTCGAATTTTGTGCAGTTGTATACTTGATTTCCTTCTTTTAAATTTTTGTTTTTAGCTTGTGGTCTGGGTTGACCCTCTGGACGGCACCAAGGAGTACACTGAAGGTATCTCTTTTGTGTTCCTGTTTCCCAGTAGTGAGGCCAGGCCCGGACACTTCCTTGTAAAATTTGATAGTTTGTGTGTTATTTGAAAAGCTAGCTTCATGGCTAATGCCTCTTCCTACAACTTGGCAGCTGTTATCTTATATCCATGATTGTTGAGACAGGGAAGCTGGATGTGGTGACATACACCTGCAATCCCAACACTCAGGAGTCTGAGGCAGGAGGATCCCAGAGAGTTCGAGGCCAACCTGGGCTACATAGCGAGACCTTGTCTCAAAACCGAACAGACAAGTACAAGGTCCTGAGTTCAATCTCTGATACCAAAAACAAACAAACAAAACAAGACCATTCATAAATAGGGAAGCTTTAATGGATATTAACAGACTGCAGAACGCTTACTGAGGCTTTGATTCACTATTTGTGTCTCTGGCCAGCTCTCTTAGAGTTTATGTATTTCACCATAAGAGGAGTTGACCATGGATGAATAATGATTTAGTAAGACCCATCTGAAAATAAAGAATAAAAAGGATTGGGGATGTAGCTCTGTTGAAATGCTTCCCAGTACCAGAGAGAGAGAGAGAGAGAGAGAGAGAGAGAGAGAGAAATGTGCACTCAACAAACAGATTCACATCAGGTTCCTTATCTCAAAACCACTTGAAGCAGTTGATGTGCTGCTGATGAGTCCTCACCTGAGAAAGATCTAGAATTGCCATTTCTCCTCTATAGGTCTCCTCGACAACGTGACTGTTCTCATTGGAATCGCCTATGAAGGGAAGGCCATAGCAGGCATTATTAACCAGCCCTATTACAACTACCAGGTATTGTTATAAGTGACACCAAAGTACCTCATTACTCTGACAATCACAGTGTTCCATGATTCCCGATGACATTCAGTCCGTGGTTCCTAGCTTGGTAGCTTTCCGGCTCCTGCCCGATACTCTTGAATCAGAGCCCAGGTGTCTATACCAGGAATGTGTGCATAGGGATATCAGATACACGTGCACACAGATACAGTGCATGCATTGTATTTTTTATGCCCTTAGGATACAAGTGCAAAAGTTTGGGAATTACTTGTGTAGTTCTTGAGTAGAGCGGTCATCAGGACACCTGATTTACAGATGGTTCTTGAAGCGGATTGAAGAAATGAACCGTTTCAACCAAGATAAGATGCTAGTCATGTGGCTTCCCAGGTAATACCGCATAGGCTGTAAATTACAGGCAGTTACCATAGCAACTTAGTGTGCTCCTGCACTCTCTTCTCTTTTGTTTCTTCTATCTGCTTTGACTTTCTGTTATACCTCAAAGACACTGTCTTCCTTAGGAGCCAGATACTCATAGCTGAGCGTGGCAGTGCCCACCTGATCCCAGCACTCTGGGAGGCTGAGGCTGGAGGGTTCTAAATTCAAGCCCAGCCAGAGCAACTTAGTGACTTACCAAGACTATGTCTCAAAATAAAAAATTTTTAAAGAAGGCTGGGGAATGTAGCTCAGTGCAAAACTCCTGAGTTCATCACTAATGCCACCACCGAAAGAAGCAAGAGACTTGTGTAATTTCCAAAGAAGACTATACCGTTAAGTAATTTAAAGGAAATTACTGAGATAAAATACTTATGGTATTATACTTATTATATTAGTGTGACCTTGATAGAACTTTGGAGAAAAAGTAGTGTTGAGGCTAGTATTTCTGAATTTATGATTTAAGAGCAGGATTAGTCTTTACTTTTAATATGAACTTGGTTTTCCTGCTGTTTATATATGGTTATCAACTTTACTTATAAACACGTATTTCTAAGGACTTAGCAAAGTAGGTACACATTGTCGGGAAGCCCTCTCCCGCTGAAGGGCGAGCATTAGTGCTCGCAGCATTTGTTATTGTGTGTGTGGCGATTATGCAGACAGAAGTTTGGGGTTCCTATGTGAACTGTAAAGTGTAACCCCACTATTACTTCTGATTCAGTTCCTGGAAAACATTGTCTAACACATGGGACTTTCTTCAGCAAGAGAGAGCTAAGTGCTTAGGACTTGCTGCTAATTGTCTGCCCTGCTTTTGGAGATTAGAGAGAGTGTACTCAGTCTCCGCAGAATGATGCCAAGCAGACATTCAGGGAGCACAGCAAGGAAGCAGAGGTGAGGCGAGGCAGGGCCTGGCGCACGCAGGGAGGAGAGGGCAGGTGCGGCCCTGCGCCTCCCGTCCTGCTGTCTTCTTCTCCCCTCCGGACACACTCTGTCCTTTCCTTCTCTCCTGCTTCGGCCTGGGCTCTGTTTCGGTGGTTGGACGCCACGCTGCAGTGTGTCAGGCCCAGGGCCGCCCCCAGTGCGGCTGGGCTCGGGTCCGTGTGCCTTGTCTCCTTCATCCTCACCGAGGCACTGAGGGCCCCGCTGTTCCCTTCAGGCAGAGAGCTTGGGTCACCCTGAGTGGTGCCGCAGCTGGGGCGCAGTCAGGGCCGAGCTCACCGTGGCTCCAGGTTGCTGTCCTGAGCCACACGGCTTCATTCCAGCTTCAGCACCACTCCCGGAAGCCCCGTAGCTGTGGGCACCGGGAGGAAGCAGCGTGGCAGCAGGCGCCCTTCCCGTGAGAGCTGTGTCTCAGCCATTGTGAGTCCTGCATGGGGACTGAGCCCAGGGCCTGCACACCGGCCTCCACCCCTGGCCCATTTTTGTTTTTTATTTTGAGACAGGGTCTTGCTAAGTTGCCCGGGCTGGCCTGAAACTCCTGCTCCTCCTGCTTCAGCCTCTTCATTGCTGGGATCACAGGTGTGCGCCACCATGTCTTGCTGCCACTATGAACCTTAATTAATTCAGCCTCAGAAAGGAATGTGATCCTTTATTGCCTCAAAAAATCAGTCTGTAATCCCTGTACTCAGGAGGCTGAGGCAGGAGGGTCGTGAGTTCCAGGCCAGCCTAGGCTACACAGTAAGACCCTGTCTCAAAAAAACTAAAACAAAAGCAACAAGAAGAGAAAATGAGCTCAGAACCTTGGAAGGAGTGAGGTCCCGGGATTGAGGCCAGAGCACAGGGGAGCCAGCAGCCACAGTGTGCGTTTGTCACAGCGCCTCATGGGGCACCAGGCTCCTGGGCCCGGCGCTGCCTGTCCATGGACAGAAGGAGTGTAACTCCCGGGGACCTGGACACTCGAGTCACTGTCCCGAGCGCTTTCCTCGCTCCAGGACAGCGGGATGCTGGGTGAGGCTTGGTGACCAGGTCATCTGTGGCCTGTAGACGCCCACCTGTCCTATGGCTCAGGCTCGCGAGGGAGCCGGGGCGCTTGCTGGACACTGGGCACACAGCTCGGCTTCCGGGTCTGGGTCCTTCTCACTCACTGCAGGCACGGGCAGCCTGCATCTGTTCAGGGCACCCTCGCTGGCACACACTGTGTCCCCGAGTCACACAGACCATGTGCAGGGGCCCATGGGCGGCATCTCAGCCCAGGCTGGGAGCTGCAGGGCACTGGCCCTGGAGCTGCTCCTTCCCGGGGTGTTGGCTGAGCTGCCCCTGGGCAGCCACCAAGCTCGGCGTCTGCATCCTGGGGCCTGACTCCTACCTGAATTCACCCCACACTAACTGCACCTGGGTGTGGCCTGAGGACAAATAGACCGGGCCTCTGAACACAGATGGTGCACCCAGGCCACCTGGTTCAGTGATAAGGTTATACCATCTCGCCAGGTGTGGCGCTGCACCTACAACCCCAGCACTCTGGGAGGCTGAGACAGGATGGCATGTTCAACTCCTGTCTTAAAATAAAATTTATTTTTTTTGGTACCGGGGATCGAACTCAGGTCCTTCCGCTTTCGGGGCAGGCAGCAGAACCACTGAGCTAAATCCCTGGCCCCTTAAAATAAAATTTTTTAAAGGTCGGGGATTTACCTCAGTGCAAAGGTCTTGGGTTCATCCCCTAGTATTAAAAAAAAGAAAAAAAAATTGTCCTACCAGGCACAGGGGAGTGTGCCTGTACTCCCAGCTATTTAGGAGGCTGAAGCTGGAGGATCATTTGAGCCCAGCCTGGGCAGCATGAGAGACCTGTCTCAAAAAAAAAAATTCAGGGCCGGGGATTTAGCTCAGTGGTTTCGCTGCCTGCTGCACAAGCTCAAGGACTCGAGTTCGATCCCCAGTACCAAAACAAATTCAGTTTTGAACAAGGATGAGCTGGGTTTGGCTGTGAAGTTCCTAGAATCCTCAGTCGGGTTATTCAGTGATTCCAAATCAAACTTTTTCATCTTTAAAACAAGGATTATAACATCTGCTGCGAGGGGTTGCTCTGAGGATCCACTGAGATAAACCACCGGGTGTGGTGGCCGGCCTGCTTGGTGTGGGGTCTGATACACATCTGCTCTGTTAACACTGCTCTAGTGGTCTGGGGCTCCTTAGCTTATGCCTCGGTTCTACTGTCCCTGACATGCAGGCGGTGGCTTCTCTAGGAAGTACACGGAGTCTGAGATCACGGCATCGTCTCACAGGGGCCCAGCACCAGCCTGGCCACCATCCTGTCCCCTTCACCGCAGTAACATAAAGACGCAGGTGTCAGCACTCGAGTTTGGTACCCGAGGACTTCAGTACCTTTTGGAAATGGCTATTTTCAATACGAAGAGCAGATCATTGGGTGACTCAGAAAGAAATTAATCAGTATGTGAAGCTTTCTTTTCCAAGGACTCGGGAGTGGGCAGAAACCCCTTCAGCATCTCTGAAACCGTTAAGCAAAGCAACAGTGAGAATAAACACCCGTCCGGATGTGGTAGCTCACGCCTGTGATGTCAGCACTCAAGAGGCTGATGCAGGAGGATTGCGAGTTTGAAGCCACCCTGGGCTACAGAATGATGCCCTGGCTCAAAAAGAGAAAGAATAATCACCCGATTCTGCCGGGAAGAGTCCTTCCGTTCTTTGCCAGTGATGTGGTTCTTGTATTTATAACCTCGTCATGTTCTTATTTTCAAGCGTGCTGTGTGCTGAGCATTACTGAGGAGAACTGTCGCTCATGTCTCCCTCCATGTGGTGACCAGCTCTGTCCTCTCTCTCGTCACCAGGCAGGACCCAACGCGGAGCTGGGGCGGACCATCTGGGGTGTCCTGGGCTTGGGCGCCTTCGGGTTCCAGCTGCAGGAGGCACCCGCCGGGAAGCACATTGTCACCACCACCCGCTCACACGGCAGCAAGCTGGTGTCTGACTGCGTGAGCGCCATGGAGCCGGATGCCGTGCTGCGCGTGGGCGGTGCGGGGAACAAGGTAGGGTTGGGGTGCAGAGACCCCGAGGGTCTCTGACGCCTCGGGAAGAGCTTCCTCGGCATTTGCCACGGACAGTGCGTTTCAGCAGCACTCAAGTGAAGCTCACGTCCTGAGGCATCAGGACAGATCTGTGTCTTGCCGAGGCCGGGGGCCCAGGGACCCTGGGGTCCTCTCCAGACCCTTGTCCTGCAGGCCCTGCCCGTGCACCTGCCTGTACCCCATCCTCTCTGGCAGGCCCCAGGAGCACTGTGCAGCGGGACGCATCTGCTCCATCCCTGCCCCGCTCTGCTGAGCTCACTGTCCCCAGCCACACCAAGGTGCCTTCCCCGGGTCGCTTGTCCTCATTCCTGCCAGCAGCCCCTCTTCTGCACCCACGTGGCTCTGCCCATGGACCCCGATGCTCCTGCACGTCTCCTGTTGTCCACGCAGCTGGCTCAGGGACGTCATCGCATGGTCACACAGCCACAATGGCTTCCAAGGTGGCTGGTCCCGGGTCACAAATCCCAGCAGAGCAGTTAAACACATACAGCTCCTCCCTGTCCCAGATCCCAAGCTGATTCCCCATCAGAGGGATTTAAGACCCCAGCCTAAGGGGCTGGGGATTTACCTCACTGTTCCCAAGTTCAATACCTGGTACCAAAAAACAACAACAAAAAATACAAAGCAAAACCCCAGTTTAGGCCGGGCGTGGTGACACACACCTGTGATCACAGGACTTGGGAGGCTGAGGCAGGGGGATTGCTGAGAGTTCAAGGCCACCCTGGGCTACATAGTGAGATAGACCCTGTCTCAAAAGCAAATAAGACAGGGCCGGGAATTTAGCTCAGTGGTTTCACCACCTGCTGTGCAAGCACAAGGACCCAAGTTCGATTCCCGGAAAAAAAAAAAAAAAAAAAGCAAATAGAACAAAAGTTGATACTTTGGTAATAGAAGCAGCAGCAGGGATGATCCCAGAGCGTTAGGGGCGTGCTTGCTGGACAAGTCAGCATGGCGCATCTGTGAGGATTTATGACATGCAGGCATCGCCACACTGCGTGCCATTGCTTTATTTAGTAACAGCCAGTATTTGAGAAATTTAAAAAGCTTTGTTCCATAATAAGTTGCTTTTATAGTAAGAAGAAAACAAAATGAATATAAAGAAAGCTTTACTGCGGCCATCTTCCTTGTAGCGTATTTGGCAGTTCTTTGCCCTTTAGGCCCTTGGAGCTTATTGTGCCCTTGTATTTATTTCTTGTAACCCTGGCAGAGGCTTCAGCGGGAGTGGGGTGCGGCAGAGCAATGGGTGGAACAAGTGGACATAGACGCAACCTCCTCTCGTGCCTGTAGCCCGCCCCCTCGCGGTCCGGGATAATTCTCACCTCTGACCTTCCAGATCATTCAGCTGATCGAAGGCAAGGCCTCTGCCTATGTGTTTGCAAGCCCAGGATGTAAGAAGTGGGACACTTGTGCGCCGGAAGTCATCTTACACGCGGTGGGAGGTGAGTGTGTTCTGTCCTGGAGAATGGCAGCTGCCTGTCTTGCTCAGACCTCACATCTGGTGCTAGTCCTGTACCCAGCTGTAGGGAGACTGGAGCTGTCCGGGCTGGAGCCCATACATATTTCATGGATGAGTAACTTGATTTTCAGAAAATTTGTTTTTCTTTTGTCCCTTTTTGGGACTTTGATCTGCATCATTCTTTTAATTCAGCTCTTACTTAGGGTTTATTTTTTAATTAATTTTTTTACTAGTACACATTTGTCATACGTATGGATCACATTAATCATAAGGAATTTGCACCTACATAATATCTCTTGGTTCCCCTTTCTTACTTGCTGTTTTAATGCTCTTGAAGATGTTTTTCCTTGAAAAGTAAAATGTTTCATGCAGGGCATGGTGGCACATGCCCGTAATCCCAGCACTCTCAGGAGGCTAAGGCAAGAGGATCAGCTGCCTAGTAAAACTCTCAAAAACCAGAAAAATAGGGGCCGGGATTTAGCTCACCAAAAAAAAGAAAAAAAAACCCAGGAAAATAAAATGTTTACCATCACTGGCATTCCTCATTTAATTTTTTTTTTTTAGAATAATAAACATACATACTTAATTCTCTCTGAAGCCACATTGGTGAATATCTCAGTTCTAGTTCTAAAAATGAAAGAATTGGAAATACATTACACATATATTTGTTATTGTTACTGTTTTTTGTTTTTCATGTAGGCTTTTTTTTTCTTTCTGGTATCAGGGATTGAACTCAAGACCTTGTGCTTGCCAGGCAGGAGAGGCACAACTGAGCTAAATCCCCAGCCCTGTTTTTTGTTTGTGTTCTTTCGTTTTGTTTTGTTTTGTTTTTTTGGTACTTGGGATCAAACTCGGGACCTTAGGCTTTCGAGGCAGGTGCTGGAACCACTGAGCTAAATCCCTGGCCCCTGTATTTGGGGCTTTTTTTGAGACAAGATCTCACTATGTAGTTCAAGATGGCCTCGAATTCACAGAGCTCTTTCTGCCTCAGCCTCCCAAGTGTTGGGATTACAGGTGTGCCCCACCACGGCCGGCTAACATTACACATTTATACATATGAAGGTAATTTTCCATTTCAAACACGTCAGTTTTCATCTGTTCTCTGCAAACAGCACCTGTTAAGTCCCTGTCGGAAGCGGAGCTGCAGCTCCACAGTGGAGCACTTACTTGCCTTGCAGGTTTGAGGCCCTGGGTCCCAGCCCCAGCACCAAAAAACTGTAAAACAATCCACCAGAACCAGGCATGGTGGCGCATCCCTGTGATCCCAGCACTTGGGACCCTAAGGCAGGAGGATCCTGGCAAGTTCAAGCCCAGCCTGGACCACATACTGATAGGAGGCCAGCCTGAGCTACATATGAGATCCTGTCTCAAAAAAACAGAGACAACAAATAAACCAACTGGAGCAGGCGGGGGCGCGGTACAGTGCAGTGCAGAGGATATGCTTGGCTCCCACCGGGCCCTGCGCTCAGACCCTGCCAGGCGCCATGACCTGACCTCCTGACGAGGCCTCTCTCTGCAGGGAAGCTGACTGACATCCACGGCAACGCGCTGCGGTACAGCAAGGATGTGAAGCACATGAATTCCGCCGGGGTCCTGGCCGTGCTGAGGAACTATGACTACTACGCGAGCCGTGTCCCGGAGTCCGTCAAGAAGGCGCTGGTTCCTTAGAAGGAAGTTCATCTTCCTCCAGGGGGGCTTGGTTGGCAAAACAGCACACTTTAAATCTGATTGGATGGAATTATTTATTGTTGATCAGTAATTTATATTAGTTACTTAGGAAGAGAAACAGCATTAAAGAAATTGCCTTTATTGGAATCTGACACTCTCATGCCTTAGGCGTGTAATAAATTTTGTATGCTCCTTTTCCTGTTTAAAAAAGCCAGGCATGGTTGTGTAAGGCTGCTCAGGAGGCTGAGGCAGGAGAAACACCTGGACAAAGAGTTCAAGGCCAGCCTGGGTTCAGATGAGACCCTGTCTCAACAAAAAAGTGAATTTGGGGTGGGGGATTTAGCTCAGTGGTTCTGTTGCCTGCCTCACAAGCGCAAGGTCCCGAGTTTGATTCCTGGTACCAAAAAAAAAATGAATTTAGCTTTATTAATCAACCAAGCCAATCTTAACAGGTGGAGAATTTATAAGCTCAACATGTTATATTTCTTTTCTTCTTTTTGGGTAGAAAAATGAGAACAGCTTAGTTTTAGCTGACCTTTAGGTTATTGGTGTGATCAGCATTCCTATCTCGTGAAGCAGATTTCTTCAGGGCACAGAACCTCAGTCATTCCAGAATTTCTCCCTTGTTTCTCCCAGTAATTTTTATAGTGTTCCTACTCCAGTTTTGAATGTGTATATTGTTACTGTGTTTGAGGAAGAGACATTGATGGGGAAAGTTTCTTCAAAATAAGTTATATAATCCTAGCACTTTGTGTATTTTTTTTTTTTCTTTTGGTACCAGGGATCGAACTCAGGTCCTTGTGCTTGCGCAGCAGGCAGCGAAACCACTGAACTAAATCCCCGGCCCTAATCCTAGCACTTTGTTATTTATCAGGGGTTTTTTTATTACTTTGAAAATTACTGGAATTTATTCATTTTATGGCATCATAAGCTCAACTGTGGAAAGCTGGACTGTCTTGGTTCCTTCTAATGAGAGACTATAACATTTCGTGTTTGGACAGTGTTGCTTACATTTTTATATTTTTGGTCTCTGTTTTGGATGAAGGAAGCGTTTTGTGTTGGTAGTTCCCAGACATATCAGGGGTGTGATTCAGTGGCAGAGCACATGCTTAGCCTACATGAGATCCCGGGTTCAATGGTAGCACAAAAACAAAAGACAAAACAGCTCTAAATATAACTTCATATCAGAGTCATCTGGGAAGATTTTGTTTGTTTGTTTTGGTTTTTTGCTTAAATTGTTTTATTGGTACATTTTAGGTATACATTTACATTTATCACTGGGTGCTTGTACTTGTACATGATGTATCTTGGTTCTAATTTTTTCCCCATTACCTGTGCGCCCTTCACCCCCTCCACTCTTCCCATTTACATAGACTTTGTTTCCATTTTTTTCTTTTCTCAATTTTTCCTTTCCCTTCTTTCCTTTCCCCTTCCCCTTCCACCA